CTTCCTCTTGTGTCCTTGGCGTTAACAAGGTGAGAGGTATAACCATATTTACATAAATCCTACCATTTCATATATGTTCAAAACATGACATCCCCTTCTTTGCCTTGCAGATGGCGGAGGAAGACTGGACCACTAGCTACTGCCTGAACACGGCTGGTTTCCCGAAGCTTCTATATGCAACAATGACCAGGCTAGGTATTATGGACCACCCAGAATACGTTGGCAGGGAATATGAGCAGCATGGCACCAAGCGGTGTGAGGTGAGCGTCTACGTCGGAGCAAGTAAGGATTTTCCTAACACAATACCATGGGTAGTGTCTACCACGGGGTTCCGGTTCAAGGACACTTACCAAGTTGCCGCTCGCAAGGCTTTGAGGTACCTATGCCAAATTTATGAGAGGCAGATATGTCAAACACCAATGAGATTCTTTCCCCCTTTGGTAAGGAGAAGCCCTATATGGGAAGCTCGAATGAGGACCCTCCAAGGGCTTGAATTACAACAAGGTGACCCAACTATGGCGTTCATGTCTAACTATTTGCTTTCCCTAGATAAGCAGTATGATAGGCAGGCTACCAAGCTCAGAAAGTGCATTCGTAGAGCAGAGGGTGCTGAGAAGCAAATCAGAAACCTTGAAGTGCAGCTTGCGGAGGCTAAGGCACAGGCAGCTAGAGCAGAGAGCCAAGAAGCTGCATCAATTGAAGCCCTCAAGCAGGCCGAAGACCGACATACTCAACAGTTGAAGGATTTGTACCTTGTCACTAAGAAGAAAAGAAGGGCCCTCGCTTTGCAAGAGAGGGAGTGCCCCATACTAGAAGGAATCCCAGTTGCACCAGTGGAAAGAATCCAAGCAGCGATTGTGCATGGGCCACCTGTGTCTTCCCCGGCTAAAGCCTCGCAAGCAAATTCTAATAAGGAGTCAGGTGATCAAGGGGTCCTTGCACCCACTCAGCCATTGCCAGGGGATGCTGCCTGCTCTCATGCCATCCTTCCAAAGTGTTCCTCAGGCTGAAGCATGATCTGAGTGGCCACATCGCCTCTCAGGGAATGAATCTAATACGGTCCAAATGTATCCCCTTAAGGGTTATTGTACAAGTAATAAAATGTACCCATAGTGTAGTGCATTTGATGTCCGCCTAATATGTAGTCCAGCGTATTGTAATGCTTTGGCACTATTAGAGGTACCTGTTTGAGCCCCCCACTTCAGTAGTTTTGTGTAGACGTCTTCCACTGTGGAGAATGATGTAATTGGTACTCTTTCCACCTATAGCATAGTCACACCTAATGTTGTGTGTTGAATTTGTGTGTTAATTGTTTGAGTCCAACTCCATCAATCGTTTTTCCAATAAGATGGTACTAATTTATTGCCCTAAAATAGGCATCATTTAGTGCCAACCAACACTCTAAGTTCCTTTACAACTCCATATTTTCCCAACACTTAGTGTACCAAGTAGGTCAGTTTTTTACCAAGATGCTACAAAATGTGTTGCATATCTTTGCTTGCCATGTTTCCTAAGATTTTGCATACCAAACACATCGCCTACAACGAAGCGTTGGCAGCAATGGCCATGCCATATTTTGTTTTCCCTTTTGAGGATTTGAACTACAAAATCTCAAAATGTCCTAGTTGCCAACATAAATCAGAGGATTCTTATTGCATGCTTCTTGATTACATGGGCAGCTAGGGCTTCCCATATGGTAACGGGCGCATTACAAGGATATACTGATGATTATTGCACCCACTAGAGGAGGGATTAGGAAGGCAAAGATGGTGATGGCGAGTTCTTCTTCATCTAGGCACATGTTGAGCGTATCCACTTCTTCCTTCCCGCAGTGTACTCCACCTTCTTGTTGATGTCTTCTTAGGTGCTCTATGGCTTGCAACCCTTACGCTAGGCTTCTTCTTCAATTGTTGGAACTGGTTAAAACTTCATGTCTTTATGTGGGTGATTAGTGTTGATGGTAGGGTGTCTTGCGGTGATCGAAGAGGCAACCGAGGGCGTTTTATAGGAGCTTGATGGCGGGGCCAAGGGATCGGGTGCGTGCCATCAGCAGGCGCCACTAATCGGCATCATTTTGAAGGCGGCTTCATGGAGGGACAACAAAGCACCATCCTTTTTAGGCACGGAGGTCATGACTCAAGCGCCGCCACATAGCAAAGTCTTTGTGGAATCTGAAGGTACAACCGTGTGGTGCATAGAGGACGGCGCCATTGGCGGCCTTGTGGGGGGACAAAGGTGATGGCTCGGCGGCGTCGTGGGCGGTGGTGCGTGGCGTGGTGTTGTGTGGAGAGGGACATTGGCGTCTGCAGAGACGATGACACTAGTGTGTGGGGAAGGATCGTGGATGCATGGATAACAACTGCGTGCGCGGCATCCACGGCTTTCATATGCCACCATCTATGCACTTTAGCTGGCTTTATATTGTGGCTTGGTGCGCCGCGTCGCCGTAATTCATGCCTATCATGGACCACGTCTTTCTACTTTTTCCTCCGGCTTTGGTCGGTCCTTCGCCCTGCCCCCATGCAGACCCCCCTTTTCTTGGGTCAGCAAACCCTGTTGCTAGGCCCCACCTATCAACTTTTTCTGACCACGCGCTACACACATGGTGCACCCCACTTTTTCGCTATAGCCCCACTATAGGCAGGTGAAGCTTCTCGGAGAAGCCTTGCCCTAGCCCTCTACAAAATGAGAACCACCCCGGCTACCTTTCCCAAGCATCCCCCCTCATTGAACCACCTCACCAAAGTTCCTTCCTCCTTGACCAAAGCCCATGGCCTCATCGAAGCCACTGTGCCCTTGCCTTCAACCCACAAACCCTCCTAGCCAACCCGCAGGGATGGCTGAAGGAGTCTGGACTAGCAACACCTGCCAAGGCATAAAGGGATTTCCCAAGATTCTGTATACCACCACGCAGTGGCTGGGAATCCGAGAGGTCCCCGTGTATGAAGGTCGTGAGTTCATAGAGCATGACACTGAGCGGTGTGAGGTCATCGTCTACATCGGGAAAAGTGAGAACTCCACCAGCATTGATGGCTGGAGCACGACCACCATTGGTTTTCGTTTCCCTGATGCCTATCAAGCGGTAGCTCGCAAAGCTCTGCGACTCCTATGCCAAATCTATGCAGGACCCCTCGCCCATACCCCCATGAGGTTCTTTCCGCCTTCGGACAAGGACACTCCATTCTGGAGGACACGCCTAGAGGCTCTGCAAGGACGCCCTCTGCAAGCAATCGACCCTACTGTGGTGTCCCTAGCCACATATCTGTTGGCCTTGGATGAGCACCATGAGAAGCTGGCCTCTGAGTTGAGGAAGTGCGTCGCTCGAGCCGAAGGGGCGGAGGCCTTCATCAGGAAGCTCCATGTGAGTTTTGCCATGGCTCGCGCCTTGAAAAACAGCCCGCCGCCGAAAGCCGTGAGACTGTCACTGGCTGAAGCCATGTGGGAAGCGGGAACGCCACGCCAAGCAGCTAAGAGAAGCTTACCTTGTCACTCGAGACCAACGGAGGATGTTGCCTTAGACGGGCAACACCCCTCGATTCCGAGGGGATACCCATCTATCCGTGGGAGAGGGAGAGAAGCGGTGTGCAGGCGCCTCAAGCACCACCACCCACTCCCATAGAGGAGGCCTCAAGTGGAGTCTCCCTTCCATGCACATAGCCCAAGCACATGAGAGAATTTCAAGAGAGCAGTAGTGAAGCCATCTGTCTCGAGGAAGTAGATTAGTTGCTCCCCTAGAGTTGTATCTTTTTTCTGCATTTCTTTGTGTTGTTGAGTTTTAGCGATGTCGTATCCTCTTTGTTATGTCGTCACGCTTTGTATTCGCAATTGTGCCCTTGAATGAACTACTCCCCTTGTGTTGGTGTGCCTTTGTGTTTTTTTAAAAAAAAAGCCACATTCAAAACAAACCAATGCTAACTACCTGTGAACATACAAAAGAAATGGAATCCCAAGTCCATTGTAGTTGTTGCTCAAAAGAAATAAAGTGCATAACAAATTATCGTAAAAACATAAAAATGGTAAGCACGTATTTGGTGTGAAATAAATCTACAATGACAGTAATAAAGACATATTTCTTAAGTTGGTCACCCGCAGCGAAGCGCGGGCAAAAGTGGCTAGTTCCTATAAAAGCCCAAGCCTATCCTGTGCCCACTGACCCATTCAGAAGCCCGCAAAGATAAATTGCAGCTTGGATCTCGTTGTTTGAACTTCATAGAAATAGGGACATGCGACCCGATAGCTAGTGGCACAGTAGTTGATCTGGTTTTTTTTTTCAACTCACAACTGCATTTATACAGAAGGAACATTTCATTCATCACAAAAAAAAGGAAAATCATAATAGTGCCTTGCACAGCTTGATCCTTAAAGTGCTCACATATAGTTAGAAGAAGAAATCCATACCACTGGCTGTTACTATTCAGATAGTCAGTTTTGGACCCTCTAGGTGACTAGGTCTCTGCATTGAAAGTTTGAAACATGATTGTTTACTGCCACCCCCATCAAATTGAATTTGAAGGAGAGGGAGGCCTGGGTGAAGGAGAAAGTTTGGATCAGTTCGCATATATGCCATGTGGGGATTTTTTCCACCGTGACAAGTTGGTATAAATATTGATCACAGTTTATGTTATGGCAGTGGAAGAGGTCTCCAGGAGCATGCACGGCCACCAGGTCTTCATGGGCATGCACGCCAGGTCCAGAGGCTAAAATAAGAAGGCGCATGCACCATCCTTGGTTTGGAAGGAAGGAGTCGGGAGGATTATTAGGAGTTGGTTTCCTAGTTTGTTAGAAGTGCACCTGAGTATAAAGGGCACTGGATCTGCTGTGAATAAGGCATCGAAGGAAATAGGACCCCCCAAGGCGGTGGGTCTTCTCCTTCGATGGTGGCTGCCAGTGATTCAGCCGTGATCACTGGCGACGAACCCGTGCCATTGCCTCGCTATCCTCTGCGCTCCCCACGCCACCCACGCCATATCAGTTTAATGGTGTTTTTTACTGGATGACAGATGAACTTTACTGTATGCTTGAAGGAATTTGATATGTTGTTAGAGATAAAGTTACATTAACTGTTACCCTGTTTCTAACTCATGTTTTGACAATCATGGAATCCATTATGTTGATTATAGTTCTGCAGTTATGCATCTGCCAACTTGTATACTGAAGAGAAAACTTTCCAGGTAAATGGTGCTGGTTTTATTGACCTTTGTAGAACACTAAGAGTTGTCAGGGGCTTTGGTTCAGAAGGTCAGTTGTTTTGTATTATGCTTACGCCAGCATTTTGTAACAAGTTTTAATTCTATTTATTGTGTTTATTACTATCATGTACAGCTTCTATAACAATTTTTCACAATGAGAAGGAGATCTTCACGAAATTATTTCAAATAGCCACGAGAGAATTAAAAGCAGTAAATGTAAGATACTTTTTTTTCCCTTGAATGTTGTTCCTATGATTTGACCCTTAATTTTTAGATAGTGTTTGGGGTTTATTTGTTTATTTATTGTTATTTGATTTGGCAGGTTCCAGAAAGTTGTCCGGCAGGTTCCTTCTTGGAGAACGTCACATTTGAAGTGTCTGATAGTGATGGTCTCATTGATGAATCCATTGATGGACCTCTGCATACACTCAACATCACATCAAATGAGTTACCACTAGTGGAAGGAGCACAGTATGCTATTAAACATGGAAGGTGTGTTCTTTCTCGTGTGCAGCTTCCTCATGAACAAGGAACAGTCACTATTGTGGCATGTCACACATCTTATCCTGATCTGCAAATAAAGATTCAGGTATCAATTACTTGTAAGATTTCTGGCATTTTTTATGTCAATGTTTCAAATGTATTGCTGAATTTTAACCTTTCCAGCTTCAAGTTCAATCTTTTGATTTGGCGTTGACCACCTTGGAGGAAGGATCTGAACCTATTTTCAGCTGTCCAATCTCAATTGTAGAAAGTTCAAATCTTTTACTTCCCAGTCAACTTGCTCCTGGTCAACCTAGCCATCTTGTCACATATGTAAAAGATGTTGTTAAGGTACGAAATTGGCATTATTAGAAGTACAGAGCACTACACTGTTATATGTTGCACTTAATATTATTAGAGAAGGTGAAGTCTGTTTGATTTGAAGTTTAAATCAATAAGTTCTTAGCTAGATTTTTCTTACAATTATGATCAACTTGGAAGCAAGATTGAAAAGAAAACTCAAGCATGAAGTCGCTTGATCTCTGTCAATTACTATTTCGTGCCTTCTGCAGAAAACTAAAAATAAAGTTGGAGATACCTACTCGAAGGTAAAGTCTACAGAAGAGACACTTAAAACTCTATATTCTCGTAAGGTCTCACTGGAGAAACAAATTGACACTATAAAAGGTGAATTTTCTATGTCCTGAAATATTCCTATTTTCATACTGGCATAGTGTTGGTTATTATAATCATAACTTGAGCTTGGGCTCCAGCTGCATTGGTCCATCTGTTTTATGGAGTCTGCTGCCATTTCTATGATTACCACAACTGGCTTTTGGTTTGCTTCTTTATGTAACTTCAAAGTTTTTTACCAGATGAGATTGGGCCCATGGTTGGGTCATTCATTGATGCAAAGGAGTTGGTTCGTGATAAAATTAGAGAAAAAATTGGCACTGCTGCTTTTGTGATATGTTCCAGTGGTGATTTCATGGATGGCGTTGTTGGTATTGTTGCCCTACTTGGAACTGTGCCTGATGGCAAAATTGGCAGGTATTTTTTTTTTCAAAGCAAAAAAACAGTATGTAAATTTATCTATTGACACTGATATGTAGTTTGTTTTGGATCTTTTTTAATTTGATGATAATCACTTGTAATGGATGTGTACATTTATAGGATGCTTGCTGTGTATCTTGGCAAAGATGACATGCTCTCAGTAGTTTGCAAGACACAGGAAGCTGCTAATTACATTGAGAAATACAACACTGATGGAGGAGTGGATGTTGGCTTTGGTATTCACCGTGAAGCAGCTGCTTTGGGCGTTCCCATAAAGAGAAGATTTGCTGTCATTTGCTTAGATGATATAGAGTAAGATCCACATTTTCTAGTTGATATAAAGTTGTTTCCGTGGTTCTCCATTTGAGTGCTAAGTAATTTTGACCAAGGAACCTTATGTGTAGGTTGCATATGGGCTTTTGATAACGTCAATTTTGCATCTAAACAGATAGTATTTTCCGGGTCAAGTTAATTTCTCTAGCGTATTTTTGAAAGAACTCACAAAGGCTGTATACTTCTCCGGACAATGCTTTGAAAGAACTTACCCAGAAATCCGATATACTTTTTGCAAATAAAACATACTGCACTTATTTCCTCATTATTATTTTCTATGGCCTTGGGGAGTACACAGTAGGATAGTAGCAGTTGGCATCCACCCTTCAGGGAGCCCCTGAGAAGCTGATTAGATGGAGAGTTGTGTTTAATCTTGTTTTATTTCCAAAGGTGTTCACCTGGTATAGTGCTGGCTTGACAAATCTACCTAACATCTAACAAAACTGATGGTATTTGACTAAAGATCGTTTAACATGATAGCTAGAAACTAAGCTTGATAGTGTGGTTATCTCTAAGCAATACTAAGCCTTCCCACTAATGAAAGCTGTGCACGACATTATTAGAAAAGTTAATATCAAAATTTAATTCCCCAAGTTGCCTGTGTAGGTTAGACTAGTATGAGAATTAAGTAGTTATTTGTATCATAAGTAGTACACTGGGTTATGGATCTGGTTTACATAGCTGGCCTTCGCCAACCCCATTTTATATATGTATTGTCAAAGGAGAGAAGGAAATCTAGTCTTGTAATTTGCCTTATGGATTTTTGCTTTTTTGTTGACGGCACATCTCTGACAGGCCCTACAAAGGAGGCGTTTTGCTGAACAGTCCACAAAAGGAATTAAACCTGGCTTGGCCTTCTCCACATGGACCTAAGGGATTCAGAGGATTTGCCGTCAATATGATAAATATTTCTGATGATAATCTGAACATAACCACAAGTAGAGGGCATGGACTCCGTGAAACTTTATTTTATAGTCTCTTTGGAGAGCTTCAAGTTTATGAAACCCGAAATGACATGCTCCAAGCCATGCCTTATTTGAATGGTGGAGCAATATCATTGGATGGTGGTGTAATCAAAGGAAAAGGGAAACTACTTCTTGGATACAGGTCAGTATTTTTACTGCCATAATCAACTCTAGGGTTGTCAGCTTGTTGCAGCATGCGGGTGTCTGTGTGGCCTCCTCAACCTCCATGGTCTTTTTGTCTCTCCTTTTTTTTTAATGCAGCCCCGCCTTGCTACTTTCCATTGGCTAATTTGGTTGTACATCATGATGCATTCGATTCTGTTAGATGGCATTGAGATCACTAGAATACCAGCTAAGGAAGCAACTGGCAATGTATTTGGCTTTATTATTTTAACTTAAGAAGAAAATTCTGTTTAATCAGCATGCATGTTGGGCGTTTCTTGTCATTCCCAGCCTCGAAAAAGAGCATCAGTTAATTTAACTACATATTTAGCATTAGTTATGCTAGCATTTGCATCACAAATCATTCTTTATTTTGATGGTGCATTTATTCCATAACTCCGTGTTAAATTAGTCTGGTCCTTTTTCAGTGATCCGAAGATAACGTTTCCAGTCGTCTCCGGCTTGCCCAATACCATCACGAGCGAGTCAAACGACCATCTGGATGTCGTCACAAGAACAAGAAATCTGGATAGTAAAATGAAGCTTTTGGAAATAATCGAAACTAGGATAAGCGAACAGGAAAAGTTGCATGAGGAACTGATGAAGAAATTCAACAAGAGAAAACGCAAGTTTGAGGAGATCGAAGAGAGAATAACCCAGCCCTGTGGTAATGAGCTTGTGCTGCGCGACCTGCAGGTGAAGGTGGAGGAGCTTGATCCGTAACGCCTCCTGTACGCTGCACGCAGCAGACCTATGACATAGTTTAGGACATCTCTTCGTTGGTATGGTACTCTTATTTTGAGAGAAGCCGTGTGGTTTCCCGCCAAGGGACATGCCTGCCTACCATGGCAAGATATGTAGTAGACCCAGTGCAAAGCATATGTATGTCTTAATTACTAGCTTATATATGCATGAATGCTTTTAATCAATTTTTTTCATCGCGTCGAGAGGCTGGTGGCGTATTCATTCGTCCGGTCCAGGCGTCACCGCGTCAGGCGTGCAGCTGCAGCAGGAAGCAGCTCCTGCACGCTGGAGCCGCCCTCCTGGCTGCTGCGTCATCGTAATGCATGCCTTGGCGGCTTCGCCGATCCGCTTGCTAGGAGGCCGGGGAACGGGAACGGATACGATTTGGGATGGGAACGTCACGGCGAGACGGGTGTGGATGCGATTTCTTCGAAGCCTTGGTGCCCTATGAGCAGATCCTACATTACATCATATATATATTTCCTGAACTCTATAAACAAACTTCATATATAAATTGGCGACTCAATATGAAGCTTTATTTAATTTCTGCATCGACGTCAGTACATCATGGCATCCTATCCACCATAGCCAGTCAGTACCCATTTCGTTGTTGATGTTGAAGAGATGGAGGGTCTCATTTTGTAGAGTGCGCGTTGGGTTCAAAAAAAAAAATTTGTAGAGCGCGCACATGATGCGCTGGCAACCTCCAGCAACGCAATGGCCCTGCACTTAGCAAGATGAATGATCCGGGCATCGAGCTCCATCGGCGGTGAAATCTTTTTTAGCGTTGTCATGGCAAGTTTGGGGATCACATGCTTTACCCTGTGGCGGGATCTTCTTAATTAGACGTACAAACTTTTCTTGAGGGCTACAGCATCTGTTGTGAAGAACACCAGTGGAAAGAACAGATAGTAACATTCACTTTGCTATATATTCGATTCAAGTTGCTGAAACAATGAACTGTATATAGGAGAACAAGAAATTAGCGGGTACTGGAAGCAAAGCATGAGGAAGCCAACTGCCAGGAGCAGAACCATATTAGCCCTCCTCATCTTATCTTAGGTAGATGTGTTACTCTGGAACTGTGATTCACTAATTAACTTGTGATTTGTGATGGAGAATAAACGGAATGACCAACCTTTATACTAAATAATGTGTCATAACTCAAAAGTTCCCAATAGATTAGTTCTACAACTGGACAGACAAGTTCAAACCATATTAATAACTAGTATAGTGCCCGTGCTAACGCCACGGGTTCATCTCAGGGATGCACATGAAAATAACCAAACACCGATATTTTTTTCATAGTTTAATCCGAAAAACACTGATGCATAGCAAGGCATAATAGGTCATGTTATCACTCAATCTATCAATAAGCATCTGTTTGAGGTCACCTGCTCGTGAACCCAGCTCAACCTTGACACATGAGTACATACATAAATAAAATCAAAATAAAAGTTTGAGAAGTGTCCGCTAAAATTGCTTCTAGAATGTAGTTTTTATACCAATGCTTGTTTACTTAGATGAAGTTGTTCCAGCACATCAGCTGTCAATCAATTTGGTAGAACTTCTAGCAATGTAGCCACCTGAGATGCAAGTGGAAAGCAATATTTGTCATCGAAGTTTTAAGTGCTCGAGTAATATGATTCAACACAAATGCAAAGACCTATGGTGGCGTTTAAACCACCAAGCAGCTCGTAAACTTCATTTCACAATGAAACAAAAGCAAAAAAACTACTAACTGCAGTAGTGAACTACTAAGTCCCACCATGCCTAGATCGGCACATTGAAAATGCAGAATCAACTTTGTAGGGCTCTTCCTACTGTATCTCAAAGAAGCAGAGTCAAAAGTTGACGACAAATTAATGGATTAACTTTCTGAAAGTGTTGCGATGACATTTAGCACAGCATGCCCTATATGAGGTCTGCTGTAGAGTCAGTCACTTAGTAGCCAAAACTGGGAGTATATAAACTCTTATTCTTTGTACTAGTTGATGTATCTGAAGATCAGGAGCTCGGATTAGTTAAGATGGGAAATGTGTTATAGGAAAGGGATGGACTGTGAATTTGCAGTTGGGCTTCTGGAAGGCATACAAGAGATGGAAATAACTGGAAGCATTGCTCTTTGAATTCCAATGTGTGCACTATAATGAAAGTTGCCTAAATCGAAATCCCAATGAAATAAGGGATGGGAGTAACAGCTTAAAGGTTTGAAGCCAAAGATTGAGAAGCATCTAAGTGACAATGCTTAAATGGAGTATGCAGTAAAAAAAAACATCATCGTGTACAGTTTTCTACAAGAAGAGCGAGAGTTATATGTAATATAAAAAAGTTCAAGGACACAGAGACTTCTTTGGTACTCACATGAGGCTCAATTTTCATTAGTCTCTGCTCCAATCTTTGTATTCTAGAAATAAGTGTAGCTTCAACAACCTGAACACATGGAAATCATGATGAAAGATCAGTTCATATTTCCAACCGACACTTTAAATTTACATGAAAATGCAATATTTTCTTATAATGCAAAGGACATACAATAAAATACCACATTGTGCTACAAATATTTTAAACAAAAATAAGTGTATGATCCCTGACGTATTCTCATGCCTGTTTCCACCTGTCCACCTGAATGGATATCAGAAAATAAAGTCATAATTCAGTTAACTGCAGAAAATATTTCAGAACCAAAACAGCAACTGTTAGTAGTATAGAGAAATGATCTATGCATACAAGCTATGTTATCAGCCTAGAGAAATGATCTATGCATACAAGCTACAATCCGTTTGCGGCCAGATACAGTTGCAGCTCATACTGAATACTTTGCCTAACTTATTTGCAATGGTACCTCATGAAAAAAAGAGAAGTATAGCCACTGCATAGTAGTACATAAGTTAACTGCAGATATCAGTGCTTGGGAATTAATAAAGAGAACAAGATCAAAATCACTAATCAGGATACGATGCGAAAGAATAATTGGTTTGTTCTTCCTTTTGATGTCATCACAGTACTCCCTAGCTAGCACAACCTTCCTTTGGTCCATCCCCAACTGGCATATGTCAGCCTACAAAAGAAAAAGGATAAGGAAAATGATTTGTATACAGAATTCTTGTTTCTAGATTGAAGGTGCACACCACTCTGAAATATCAAAAGCCTTTCAGTCTTCATTAATATGAGTAAATACAGTCAGAATGGAAATATCGAAAGCTTTTCAGAACTCAAAGAGAATTCAATAAAATTTCTTTTGGAATACCATGGAATGCAATAGCACGATAAATACTTGCCTTCAAGAAAAATATATCAGCACATTGCATGCAAGGGTAGAGAATTTGGGTAGCATCTGCAAGTAAAGTTAAAATAAAATTACTTACACACTTCATAATAAGCACATTTCAGCATGATCCTAGAGCAAACTTCTCCCTGTACCTGGCAAGCCACGGCCAAGGCGCCAAGCCCTTCTGGAAGTAGAACTTTGGTAGAAAACAGACCTTAAGCTCAGCCAGGCTCAGGTGCAGTCCTCCCAGAGGCGCAAAATCATAAACACGAAGCCAAACTTCTCCCTGTACCTGGCATTCCACTTTGCCATCTCCTACAGTAGTTGGATAAACCAAACTAAATTAAGTCCAAAGGTCATATGTGATAGACACAAGGAAAACTGAGATCTGATGTAGCACCTGGGCAGTCGAATCCGTGGCTGTGGAGAGCGCTGCTTATTGCTCTTCCTTGCTCCACCAAAACCAAAAAGAAAGGCACACTCCCCGTGCAACAAATCCCCGTGCTACATCCTTGTATTATTGATCTTCATGTCATTTCCTGCTTCAATATACTCCCTGAAAATAGAAGCCCTGCAAGTACTTTTATCAACCAATTCAAGTTAGTTTTCATCTAATTTGATCTGTACCTGCAAAGCCATGACAAATCAACTTAACCTTACAACTTCCTATTCTAGACGTCACCGTTAGCTAATGAAACCACAACTGCTCTGCAAGGGAACCATGTATATGGTTATCACTGTACACATGAGCATGGACCAGACAATGTCTATGATCAAGAAAGGAAGCATACCACAGAAATAAGGCAAAAACGATCAACTTCTATATAGTATCACTCAAGCAACGAAGTTCAAGTTCTGAAGGTATAAATGCAGTTGTAAGGGATTGCATATCCTACGAAATAAAATAGAAAGAAGACATGGCTATCCCTAAACCTCGTCCGCCAAGCAAAACAGGATCCTCTTCCTGCCCAGAAGCAGCCCCTCTCTCCCATGAAGATGTAGGTCGCAGTGTCTCCAGGGCAGCAGGAATTTGATCCTTGCACGTCTCCTCCGCCCTCTGCCTCATCCACTGCGCGTATTCAACCTATAGGTCAAAATTCATCCCACATCACGCGGCTGAAGGCAGCTGCATGCCGTAGTACCTGGTATCTCGAGGTCGACGAAACAGCAGTTGAGTTCGGGGCACGCGTCGGATAAGCACAAATCGAAGTCCAGCTCAGGGAAGCAACAAACCATACTTCGATGAGCACTGCAGCCTAAGTACAATCACAACAACCTATACTGCAGCTACAAAATGGCAGAATACAAGTACCGTGACATTATAAAAGATTGAGCAATTGACAGAGAGATAATAACACAAACACACATTACGGATCTGCAATAATACACCCTCCTTGCCCCCCAATACATCGCACAAGGAAAAGCAAAAGAAGAGGAGCAGCTGTATTACCTCGTATACACGTTGGCCTGCTGAATCGGATACCACCACAGATCCATCTTCCCTACAAAATCGATGATTTCCCCACTGAATTGATGCCTCAGCCAAACTAAAATGTATTCGAAATTGAGCTTGCCTATCAAAAATCAACACCATCCTCTCCCAGATCGAGCACGTCGTGGCCCGCATCGACATCCTCATCATTTGAATCGCATGGTTGCTATCGGATCGAGACCGTCGAGGCACGTGCTACCGCTGGGATCAGCGCAGCACGGATGAGCGGAGGGACGTGGCCGCGCCGGCCCGGGATCGCGGTGTGCCGGACGTGTCGGCTAGGCTGAGATCGCTCGTAGGCGGAGGATGTCACGTCGCCGAGGCCGAATTCCTCGCAAAACCACCTGCACCTCGTCGACAGTGATGTACCCGCTGCTGTCCCTCTCCACCTTGTTCAGGTGCAGCGTCACCACGATGGACGCGGGCGCCGGGGTTCTTCAATAGCCTCCCTAGATCGGCGCGGCGTCGGGCGGTAGGGCTACTCGATCGGCGCGGCGGCGACACGATGGACGCGGCGTCGGCGCCGCAGGTTTCGAACGGCGTTTTTCTTTTCTTTTTTTTATTCGGTGACCATTGGCTTCGATCGTGGATCGCGGTGTCGCACGTTGAAGTGCGAATTAAAGATGGCAACGACCACATATTATCCGCGCGCTCTTGGCATAAACCCTCTAAGGTGAGGGTACGGGTTTGGAGTTATGCCCATGGGTATGAGCGAGGGCATGTAATTGAACCCAATGGGTAAAATTTGATGGGTAAAAAAAAACTTGTACCCGTGCCCGCTAGACTCGCGAACCCGCTCTAGAGCCCTGACATGTGGGTCTCTTGTGCCAATAGTACATAAGAAAGCAAACTCTAGGGTTCATGTTCAGCATTTCTATTCTATCCCTCCACCTCCTCACCCCAGCCGTCACAGCCTAGGTGCCCAGGCGCCAGGCCGCCAGTGCCACTGCACCACCACACCCCAGATCCCATCCACCAGCAGCCAGCGCCAACCCATAGACGAGCTCCGACCACCGATAGTCCGGCGCCCTGCATCTGACTCGCTGGAGCACAGGACCTCACCGTGTCCAGCCGGATCCCCTCTAGGTATTGATTTTTCTTCAATCCCCTTCGTCCCTACTACTGATTTTGTACTTATGTTCCATGTATTAGTTGATGTTTGTATGGTCAGTAGCTAGTTCTGTAGATCAGTTCAGTTCTGAGAATTTTTCATGTTCATGTATTTCAGAGGATTTGTGATGGACACCCCTGGAAGTAGCATGCAGCCTGGAAGTAGTTCTGGGCCTTCTAGACCTGTCCTTGTTATTGCAGCTGACCCTGAAGTGATCCGTGTTGATAATGAACCTGAGGAAGATGGGGCTGCTGGTGGTGTAACTTAGTCACAAGGCTCACAGAGGAAGCTTACTTCTGCAGTCTGGGCAGATTTCACAAGAGTTTGTGATGATGATGGTGTGTGGAAGGCTAAATGTAAGCATTGCGGCAAGAAACTTTCAGCAACAACAAGGAATGGTACGAACCATCACGTACTCATGTGAAAATTTGTATTTATAGAAAAAAAGTCAAGTGATAAAGTCCAAACAAACTTGAGGTTTGCGGCCACTGAGAAGGGGGCAGTGGCTGTAGAAAATTATGTTTTTGATCAAGAGGTAGCTAGGAAAGCACTTTACTCTATGATTGTATTGCATGAGTACCCTCTGTCCATTGTGGACCATCATGGATTTTGCAAATTTGTTAGTGCATTGCAACCCTTGTTCAAGATAGGTACTAGAAATATTGCTAGAAAGGGAGTCTTGAGTTTCTATGACATGGAGAAAAGAAAAGCTAAGATATTCCTTCAGAAGATGACTTGTCGTGTTGCTATTACAACTGATATGTGGACAGCTGATAACCAGAAAAGAGGATACATGGCTGTCACTGGACATTTTATTGATGACTCATGGACTCTTAGAAGCTGCATATTGAGGTGATTACCTGATTTTTCTTGCTACACTATTTTTATGATATGGATTTATTGGTTTTCTTGCTCACTAAAATTTTCTATCGTTTTCAGGTTTATTTATCTGCCATGCCCTCATACAACAAGTGTTATTTGTGATGCATTGCTCAAATGCCTCCATACTTGGGATATTAATTGCAGGGTGTCAACAGTGACCCTTGATAATTGCAGCACCAATGACAACATGATTGGACAAATGGAAGGAAGGATTAGAGCAGCTAATATGTTGTTGAGTGGCAAGCACCTTCATATGCGGTGCTGCACGCACATCCTGAACTTAATTGTTCAAGATGGCTTGGAAGTGATTAAGAAATCTGTCGCAAGTATCAGGGAAAGTATTGCTTATTGGGTTGCTACACCAAAGAGGTATGAGAAATTTGTGAAAACAACACAGCATCAAAATGTTGAATTAACTAAGAAGTTGTGTCTAGATTGCAAAACTAGATGGAACTCGACTTATATCATGCTTAGTATTGCTATACCTTATAGAAAAGTTTTTGAATGGTTAGGAACCCTTGATCAAAGCTTTGATTGTCCTCCAGAAGATGATTGGAAATTTTCTTCGCTTGTTTGTGAGAAATTAGAATTGTTCTATCAGCTCACTACATTGTTTTCTGGAACCAAGTATGTGACAGCTAACATCTTCCCCAAAGTATGTGAAATCAAACTTAAAATTAATTCTTGGAAAGAAGATGAAAATGAGATAATTAGGAAAATGTCCATTACCATGATAGAGAAGTATGATAAATATTGGTTTGACATCCAAGGTCTTATGGCTTTAGCTGTTATTCTTAATCCACGTCTTAAGATGATAATGTTGGAAGCTTGCTACATTGCTCTATTGGGTGAAGATGAAGCTGATAAATATGTCAAAAAGAGCTATGAGTTGCTAACAGAGTTGATGTGTGAATACCACATGCAAACTGGCCAAGAGGGTGTGGGTACATCATCTTTTTGGTGTTGCTTCTTCTACTGTTAGTGCAGCGGCTGTGCTGTCCATATTCAAGTCACTTGTTGTAAATAAACAAACTTCAAGTTTGTCTAAAGCCAAAAATGAGTTAGATCACTATTTGGATGAAGAACCACTTCCTCATAATGAGAGTGAATATTTTGATGTTCTTGGCTGGTGGAAGGTTGCGGGAACTTGTTTCTCAACTTTGAGGATGATTACTCGTGATATTTTGGCTATTCCAGTCACTACAGTAGCTTCGAGTCAGCTTTTAGCACTGGTGGTAGAGTTTTAAGTGAGCATCGCAGCCGTCTTACTCCTCAAATGGTGGAAGCTCTTATGTGTAGCCAAAGTTGGCTTCGTCACTCGCTTAAAGGTAATAAAAATGGTCATTTTTATGTTTCATATATTCTAAAACCTATAATCTATAGGCTGCAGCTACTAACATTAAAAAATACCTTGCTGTAGATCAAGATGATGGTAAGGTTGATACCTTTTGGTCTTGCCTTGACATAGAAGAAGAAATGAAGGAAGAATCATGCATTACGAGTGTCGACTCTGATTGAAAACAGCTTGTTGAAGTTGAACTATATATATTGTACTACTGTGTCCTGTGTGACGGTGTGAGTGTGATCTATGAACCATAATTGATGTAGAATTTGATATTGCCATGTACTATACTATACTGATGTTATCCAATTGCCTTGTTAGCTACTTAGTTGTTACTTTTCACTCTCTGGTTTTGATATTTGGCGGGCTGGTGGGTGTGCCCGCGGGTATTCTGTGCCTGCGGGTGGCGGGTGCGGGCACACTATTGTACCCGTCGCGGGTAATGGGCGCGGGCGTGGGTGGGGTTTCAGCTCGGGTGCAGGTTTATATACAATGTACCCACAAAAATCATGCCTGTTGCCATCTTTAAGTGCAATGGAGGGCGCGGGGTGAGAAGCCTGCAATCAAACATCAAACATCGACCGTCGGAGGGTTTCTAGTGTTTTATTAGCATTTTAATAGAGACGAATTCCTTTTTTTTGGTGCACAATGGTTGGAGGCTCTCAACGGGAGACGTTTTCCTAGGGATCTAGTATAATTTCAATTAGTCCATTATAGTAGAGATAATCATTAATTGCATTGATTTGTAGATAGATATAAAGATATATGGATTGTAGAAGAGTAAGATTTGACCAGGATTCTATCTAAGCTTACATATATATGGAAGATGAACTAGTAAATAATTGCGTTAATTTTAGAACAATAGAATAAAATTGGTAAAATTAATTGCGCTAATTTTGTGTAGAATTTTTTTGAGCTTTGTTATAGTGTTGGAAGGTATCGGTGCTACTTTCAGGTGGTTTTTGCTGAACCGTTGATTTGACACAAGTAAATAAAAAAATTAAATTTATATAATTAACAATATTGTAGTGGTAATTATTCCTTTTCCTCAGTAATTAATCCCTCCCGCATATCCTCGGCATGCCGCCCGCCGCCCGCCACCGCCTTATGGAAGTCATAGTGGATTAAGTTCAATTGGAGTTTACTTGTTTTGGATGCACTTGGATGGGATCTATTTGGATTTGGATGTCCATAATCATTTGATCTAACAAGATCCAAAATTTGTTAGGCATTAATTCAAAATCCAAAAATTGCTAGCGATTTTGCTAAAATTTTAAAATGTGAATATGAGATTAATTTTAGAGTCCCACTTTTAACATGAGCTTTTAGCATGAAAGTAGAAGAAAACATCGGTCATTTGTTTTTCTCATGTGAATTTGCAAGGAGCTGCTGGCAGAAGCTTCTTATCTAGTGGGATGTAACCCAAAGTTCTCTACTCCGTATCTCCCGAGCAAGAGCTCAACAAAACTTGCCCTTCTTCATGGAAGACGTGCTAATAGCCGCTTGGGAGCTATGGAAACTTCAGAATGACAAGGTCTTTGAAGGAAGACGTCCGAGTCATAGTCTCTGGTTTTGTAATTTCAAAAAACAAGTGCCTTTTATGGGCTATTTGTTTTAAGGAAGTTATTAAATCTTCTTTATGTTTTTGGTTAAATGCCATCAGTTAATTTTTCCCTTGCTTTGTCAAGCTTTGTAAGTATGTAACTTCTTGTTTATAGTTTTATTTGGAAGTACTGTGTGGAACTCCGTCACAGTTTTTGCCTTAGAAAATATGGGCCTAGGTATACATCCAGTCACCTCCGTTGCAGCTGCCATGGCCGCCGAGGGCACACGTGGCTGGGCCAGCGCCCCCCGTAACGAGAAGGGAGGCGACGAGAACTTCACGGGTCGCACGCACCGCACCCACACGAACCGGGCTCCAGAGAAATGAAATTGAAATTCGTTTCCCTGGGCCAGGCCCAGCCGTGCTTTGAGGGGCGTGCGGGGCTGGCTAACGGGCTTGTCCAGGCAAAATAAACTGGGCTGGTTGCACCCCAGGCACGGCCGGCCATTTGGTCCAGGCAATCAACGTGCCCTATAGCTTCAGCCCCTACGGCCGCCCACTCGGTCTTACCCGTAGCGTGGAGCGCCTAGCAGCACCGCGCCCAAACCGCCGAGCGGCCGCCAAATCCCCCGACCACACACGCCCCCTCCGCTCGCCTCCGTGCCTCCGCCCTCCGTTCTCCTCCTCCTTGACAGGGCGTGCTGGTGTGGTGGTGCCCCTCCGGACTCCGACCTATTGCCTCCCCATCGACCGGCGACTTGGGCCCTGGGCAAGGAAGCCCGCGTGCCGGCAGATCAGCGCGTGCGCAGGTCGCCCCTACTGGCCAGCCCCATGCCCTCGCCCCCTGCTGGATTGCTGCACAGCACGACCCCGAGATCACAGTGAGCCACTGAGTAATGGAGTGTTGATTTCTGATTTTCATTTATCATAATTTCTTCGATAAATGCCAATGTCTAGATTTTAATAGCATGGTTTCGATGAATGCAACAGTGCGAAGTACGAGTTTGATGTAAAACAAAGTTTCAGTAAACTGGCTCTTAAACCTTGGTGCTTCAGTGCGCATTGTTTGCGGTTCGAGGCATTGGGCTAATACATACCGAACTAATGTCTAGAATCCAGCTATTTTCTTCCACTTTGTTGCAAAATCTGACTGCGTTTCACCAGTATTGTCTGTTATATCTATTATATGTTTTAGTATACCACTAGTAAATTTTCTAGCCTTAAATTATTAGCCCCCCCCATTTGCCTCATTTCTGGGTCTGCCACTAAATTCGTGCAGCTAGGTTTGGAGGGTTGCACTGGCTTGAGAGCTCATACCAGTTTTCACCCCATTGAATCTTGGTGGTTCTTCACCTGAACTGCCCCCCTGCTATGCACCCTGTTTCAGTCCCTCCCAGCCCTATACGGCAACTCCTGCAAAACAACCTGTGTCAAGGTAAATCCATTTATCTAACCTCTTAGCAAATTGTGCGGTCTGCTACTGCTCCTGTGTCGCTGCTTCTCATAATGGCATCTGTTATTTCTTGGCATCCGTAGCACTGCTGTGAGGAAGGCCATCCATTTTGTCAACCTGCGGAGAGCTGGAAGGTCTAGTGGAAACCTGGCTATGAATTCCATACCGAAACCTGCCCCTGGGTCCGAAACATCTGGGAGGGAGGATTTTGCTGTGGGGGATAAGGATGCTGTGGTTATTGTTGATCATGGGTCAAGACGCCAAGAGTCCAATCTCTTGCTAAGTAATAAACCTGATTTTTCTTGCAAGCCTTATCTTTTGCATTCATGGTGCTTTTACTATGTCTTGATTCGTTTATTGAAAAATGCAGATGACTTTGTTGAGATGTTCCGGGCGAAGACTAGCTATAGGATTGTTGAGCCTGCTCATATGGTATTTTTCGTTGTTCCAGCCTTTTTATGCCTTATTATGTTTTTTCTTTGTGAGAAATGGAAACATCTAATTTATTAATGCACTTAGCTTCTAGCATCATCCAAATTTTTGATGCAAATCAGTACTGTGCCTGTTTACAATTTTCTGAAAAAAGTAGGCATCAGTAAATCAACTTGTAAGTTGAATTCTATGTGACCCACAATCTTTTTGGATTTGGGAAATTTGGACCAGCATGTTTTGAATTTAAGTATTAACATGTACTAATTTGTGTATTCTATGCGTAGCCAAGTCCGACTCTGCTTTCGAGCTATGCATTGCACCTTGTATTGTTCAGTGCCAGCTCATTCATTCAGAATTATCATGATCGATTTTGTTCAGTATCCTATGTAGTTTGTTTGTATTTAATTGCTGATGAAATTTGTACTTGACTCTGGATATCCTGTACTTAAACTCTCAAAGGACAATACAAGGCTGATGCCACCTTATTGAATCAAATAGATAAAGTAGTTATGGAATATAGAATCTGTCCTCATTTCACTTATATTGTTTTTTAAGGAAATACAGTAGGGGAAACCCCTACTATGCTAGATATATATTAATATAAAAGAAAAGGAATAAGATAACTGTACTGAGAAAAAGGAGAAAACAAAAGTGAGAAAGACTAAACAGGTAGAAATCATTTACACAAGAAAGAGAGATCATCTATGGCTTTCTTTTGTCCTGCGTGATTTGGAGAAGGATTTGCACATTGAAGCTCTTTTTCCTGACATTGAAATTGGGTTTCCGTCGTTGAAAGACCAGTCCATTTCTCCATTTCTTTGCCTCCCAATATCCAAATATGCCAGGCTGCGATTCTGTCATTTTCCATAAAGAAGGGTTGTTGAAAATCAATTTTCTCTTTGACCAGCACATTGAAGAAATTAGTTTTGTGTCCCAAATTATTCCAAGGTAATTTCAGCATCTAATGTTGGAACCAAAGCACAGGTTTGGGGCTGAATTTGTGATTTCATTAGCCTTGTCACAACTATGGCAGGTTGGGGATACATATAGGATAGCTTGCTTGCAACTTAAGAAAGCTACATCATATTCTAGAGATGCTAAAGTAGATGCTAAAGCAATATAAGGATAAAGATAAAGGCTGACACAACCACCAACTACTATAGATAAGTATCATAGGTAGATAAACACTAGACTTATGCTTTCATTCTCCCCCTAAGTCTTGTGTGGCGTCTTCTGGGGAATTTGAACAATCCCAATCCTGGTGCGAAGCTCCTGGAACTTGACCCGTCCAAGGGACTTGGTGAGAAGGTCGGTGAGCTGATCTTGGGTGTTGATGTAGCCGGCCTTGATGCTCCCTTCATCCAAGCAGCTCCTGATGAAGTGGTACTTGATGCGGATATGCTTGCTGAGCTCATGGAAGACGGGATTCTTCGCCAAGGCCAAGGCGGACTTGTTGTCATCCACCCCGAGCTCCCTTTCGCTTCGTCTGCGCCAGGAGATCGCCCAGCAAATGAGCCAACCAGAGAGCTTGAGTCGAAGCGGTTGTGGCAAAATGATGTACTCCGCCGCAATTGGACAGAGCCACCACTTGTTTGCTTGATCGATCGCCGGTGATCGACACTTGTCGAGGGAGAATTGCGTTCCCGGTGCTCTTGCTTGTGTCGATGTCGCCGGCGAGGTCGCTGTCGCTGTACCCGATGAAGTGCTCCACACCGGGACACCTCGGGTAGTGCAAGCCGTAGTCGGAAGTGCTCGTGACGTAGCAGAGGATCCTCTTGACGGCTTGCTCGTGCTCCGTCGTTGGTCGCTGCATGATCCGACTGACGTAGCCAACGGCGAACGCCAGGTCCGGACGCGTGTGTGGACGAGGCAGCGAAGGCTGCCCACAATGCGCCGGTAGCGCGTGGCGTCGACCTCCTTCGTCGTGCTGTTGCGGCTCAGCTTCCGCCTCTCCTCCATGGAAGTGTGGGTTGGGTTGCAGCCGGTGAGCCCGCCCAACTCGATGATGCGCTTGGCGTAGGCGGTCTAGCGAAGGGAGATGTCGGAGTTGTCCTGGTGGACCTTGATCCCTAGGTAGGAGAGAAGGCCCATGTCGCTCATCTGGAAGGTGGCTTTCATCTCTTCCTTGAACGCCTCCACCTCGGCCTCTTTGGTGCCGATGATCACCAAGTCGTCGACGTAGACGCCTACCAACAGGGCATTGTCTCCCTTGCCCCGCCGGTAGACAGCAGCCTCGTGAGGACTCTGCTAGAACCCCATTTGCTTGAGGTTGGAGTCCAGCTTGGCGTTCCAATCTCGGGGCACTTGCCGCAAGCCGTAGAGGGCTTTGCGCAGGTGAAGAACCTTGTTCGCCTTGCCGAGAATGACGAATCCCGGCAGCTGGTGGACGTAGAGCTCCTCCTTCAGGTCACCGTTGAGGAAGGCGGACTTGACGTTCATGTGGTGCACACGCCAACCCTCCTGGGCCGCCAACGCGAGGAGATGAACAGACTCCATCCGCGCGATGGGCGCGAAGGCATCGTCGAAGTTGACTCCCTCCTGCTGGACGAACCCACGCACCACCATACGCTCCTTGTGCTTGATCACCGCCTCGGCCTCATCCTTCTTGAGCTTGTAGACCCACTTAAGGGTGATGGCACGGTGGCCGGCAGGAAGATCCGTCAGCTCCCACGTCCGGTTCCGCTCGACCGCGTCCATCTCCTGCTGCATCGCGGCGTGCCATGCCTCGTCTCCCTCCGCCTCAGCGAAGGAGCGGGGCTCGCCGTCCTCGTGCGCCAGGTGCAGCTCCGCCTCGAAGTCGTGCATCGCCAGTCCAGGGACGGGTTGATCACCGAACATGTTGTCCAAGGTGTGGTAGCGCAGAGGCTCGTCGTCGTGGTAGGCATCGACGTGGTCCTTGTCGTCGGACAGCGGAGTGGCGAACTCCACCGTGCGCTGCCCGTCACGGACCGAAGCTGCTGGTGCCGATCTCGGAGATGTGGGCGCTGGTGCGGGAGAGTGAGGAGCCGGTGTAGGAGAGTGGGGCGCTGCCGGTGTAGGAGAGCGGAGCGGAGCCGGTGGTGGAGGACTCGCTGGTGGTGTAGGCGGTGGAGGACTCGCCGGAGCTGATGGCGAGCGGGTGCCGAGGTGGACGAGCTCGGTGAAGATGAGCTGCTACCTCCCCCGTCTCCCTCAAAGTGGACGTAGTCGACGACGAAGTCTTTGAGAGTCGAAGTCGAGCCGTCGTCCACCGCCTTGTCCCAAGCCAGCCTTGCCCTTCATCGAACACGACGTCCCGGGAGATGCGGACGCGCTGTGTCGCAGGGTCGAGGATGCGGTAGGGCTTGACGCCTCCGCGTAGCCGATGAAGACTCCTGGTGTGCTCCGGTCGTCGATCTTGCCGACGTGGTTGAGCTCCTTGGCGAAGGCGAGACAGCCGAAGAAGCGGAGGTGGGTCACCAATGGCTTGCGCCCGTGCTAGGCCTCGTACGGCGTCTTGCCGTCAAAGGCCTTGGTGGGCGAGCGGTTGAGGAGATGGACGACAGTCATCACCGCCTCCCCCCAGTAGATTGCCGGCATCCCTCTCTGCTTTAGGAGGGCGCGAGCGGTGGCTACCATCATGCCGTTGCGGGGCGCTCAACGACGCTTCTCATTGCGGGGTGTACTGGCGCGAGAAGTGGCGCTGGATCCCGCGTCGCCTTGAAGACGCCGCGAACTTAGCCGCCATGAACTCGCCGTTGTTGTCGTCGTGAGCTTTTGAAGCTTTGCGGCCGTACTCTCTCTGCGGTAGCAAGGCCCGCATTACCGCCGCCTTTGGTGTCGAGCAGGACCGCCCACATGTAGCGGGACACGTCGTCGACGAGAAGCAGGAAGAAGCGCCGGCCTCCAGGTGTGGCTGGTGTCATGGGCCGCAGAGGTCGCCGTGCACGAGCTCTAGCTTCTCCTTGGAGCAGAAGCTCGCCTGGCGGGGGAAGGGGAGCCGCCGCTGCTTGGTGAGGATGCAGGTGTCGCAGAACTGCTCCACGTGCTCGACTCGCGGCATGCCCCGCACCATCTCCTTGTTGCCGAGCTGCTTCAGGGCCTCGAAGTTGAGGTGCCCAAAGCGCTCGTGCCACCCCCAGGCGCCGTCGTCGTCGCGGTGGGCTACAAGACACACGGGCTGCGCCACCTGCACATGAAGAACGTAGAGGCGGTTGGTGCCTCTGTTCACCTTGGCGAGAAGGCGACGATGGCGATCCCAGATCCGCAGGACTCCGTGCTCGATCTCCATGCGTGAGCCGTTCTCATCCAGCTGTCCCGAGCTGATGATGGAGTTCCTCAGCGCGGGGATGTAGTAGATGCCGGTGAGCAGCAGGTGTTCGCTGGTCTTGGCGGTGAAGACGACGGAGCCGACGCCCTTGATCTCCACGGCGGAGGCGTCCCCGAACTTGATGGTCGAGCTCGGAGAAGAACTCCCGCCGCCCGGTCATGTGGTGGGTGGCGCCGGTGTCGAGGTACCACCCGTCGGTCTTGTCGCCGCCGGACCCGTTGCCGAGGAAGACGTGGGCCCGCGGCTCATCGAGGTGGAGGAGCGCGGCGGCGGCTGGCGCGGGAGAGGAGTGCGGCTTGATGCTCCCGTGTACGAAGAACAGAGCCGGCCGTCACCCTCCTGCGCTTGCACGACGTGTGCCTGACCGCCGCGCTTCGCCTGCTGGCAGTCCTTGGCTCAGTGGCCGGTTCTCCCGCAGTTCTTGCAGGTGTCGTCTCGGGTAACCTTGCGCTCGCCGTCGGCGCCGTCAGGAGCGCCACCACGCGCCTTGTCCTGCTTGCGCGGCCGACGCTTGCGGCTGCTCGACGAACCCGAAGCCGAAGAACCTGAGGCCTCCCCCTTCTGCTTCCGCTGGGGGGCGAGCCACTGCTCCTCGGTGAAGAGAAGCTTGCCACCGATGGTGCCCGGTTCTGAGGGAGGTAGCTGCTCGCGGTTGTCGACGGCCTTGAGGCGACCCGTCACCTCCTCGACCGACAGCTCGGAAAAGTCCAGCAACATCTCGATCGCGATGGCGACCTGCGAGTACTTCTTGGCGATGATGCGGAGGAACTTCTCGACAGCTCTCTCCTCGTCGATGTCGTTGTCGCTGTACCGCGCCAACTGCTTCTCCAGGGTGTTGAGGCGGAGAGCGAAGTCGTCGACGTCTTCACCCGGCTTGAAAGCCAGGTTCGTCCACTCCGGACGTAGCTTCTGAAGCGTGGACCTGCGGGCGCGGTCGCTGCCGATGCGTGCCGCGGCGATGGCGTCCCAGGCGTCCTTGGCGGTCCGCTTGTTCGCGAGGGAGGAGTGCATCTCCGTCGGAACAGCAGCAAGAAGCGCCTCCAGCGCCCGCCGATCCTCGTCGAAGTCGGCATCACCGTACCGTATCGGCCCACATGCGCCGCACCTGCATCTTCACCTTCATCACCATGGACCACTCGGCGTAGTTGGTCTTGGTGAGCATGGACCATCCGCCGCCAGCGCCCTAGACGACGGTCTGCACGACAGGAGGGGAGCCAGGCCGGCCACGGCGACCACGGCACCGGCCGGGGAAGGGGAGGCGCGCCGCCTGTGAGGGCTCCGCACGCCAGGGTCCCGTCCGCCGTGCTCCCGGTCGAAGTCCTGCCCCGCCTCTAGCCGCGCCGCCTCCTCCCGCAGTCGCTACACCTCCAGTGCACGGTCGACTCGCGGATCCCGGTCGCGTCCTCCTGTAGCGCCGTCGAAGCTGCGACCGCCCGGAGCGCGGAAGTCGCGTCCGCGTCCGCCTAGGTCGTGGTCACGTCCCATGTCGAAGCTACGCGCGCGTCCTTCGTCGAAGTCGCGCGCCCGCTGGTCCCTGTCCCGGTCCCGCTCCGCGTCGTGTCCGTACCGCTTGTCGAAGCCGTCGCGGTTCCCTGCGCCCCACAGGCCCGCGTCCGCGTCGCGGTCGCCAGCCTCGCGTCCACCGCGTCCGCCTCGGTCGCCCGCTCCGCGCAGCTGCTCGCCATCGAGGCCGCACGCTGCTCCCGCGCGCAGGGCAGCAGCCTCTGCCGCCGCCGCTTGGGCCGCAGCAGCTGCGACCGTGGCCTCCTCGGCGGCCCGCACTGCTGCCAGCTCGGCGGCAGCCAGCCGCTGCGCCCGAGCAGGCGCCGCCGCACGCTCCTCTGCCTCCCGCTCGTGCCGTTCTGCCACGTCCAGCGCAGCCGCAGCAGCCAGGGACATCCTGCTCCACCCGCTGGAGGTGGTGGAGCCATGGGAAGAGTGGGAAGAAGAATGATTGGACCGGTTGGACATGGCTGCGGGTTGAGGATTGGTAAAGGGGAAAAACCCCAGGTAAAACTAGGCTCTAGATACCATTTGTTGGAACCAAAGCACAGGTTTGGGGCTGAATTTGTGATTTCATTAGCCTTGCCACAACTATGGCAGGTTGGGGATACATATAGTATAGCTTGCTTGCAACTTAAGAAAGCTACAGCATATTCTAGAGATGCTAAAGTAGATGTTAAAGCAAGATAAGGATAAAGATAAGGGCTGACACAGCCACCAACTACTCTAGATAAGTATCCTTGGTAGATAAACACTAGACTTATGCTTTCATCTAATACTGAAGCTACAACCAAAGAACAAATGGAGGATGAATTCTTGAATTCTGTATATAATGTATCTTCTTCTAAGAAGATTTCTTGTGTTGGGTTTTAAGCACTTTGACTTCAGATCCATAGTATAGGTCAGGGGAGGATGGAGCTATTTTGTATGAAATCAGTCAATGAGATGTAGATGTTTTTGGCAAAGGAAAAGGGCATGGGAAACTATCATTGCATTATGTCTGAGTGGAAAACAAAATAGTACCCCAGATAACATGATGCAATATCCTAGAATGAGAAGATAGCATACTGTTTTCAACAGGCTGTATCAAAGGAAACTGAAATTTTACTAAGAGTAGATGAATAGTAGTCACTTGTCCTTAGCAGCCAATGGGGCCAAATGCAACGTCCTTTTTTTTGTTAGCTTTCTTTATTTATATGTTCTTTCCCTTTAATGTCTGGTTCAGTAAATTAAAAACATGAAACACAACTCTTTAAACACTGTAGACCATACATTTTCTGTTCAGAGCAAAACAAAACCAAACTAGTGCGAGTATTCTACTCCCTATGTAACTTTTCCCTATTATTAGTCTCCATGTAGAATTGGTTAGCTTAGCTTGCAAGTTTTTTTTTCCTTGAGCATATGTGTTTTCATAAGGAAGAAGGGAATGCACTGGGGAAAAAACTGCCTAAAACACACACCTACACACCCTCTAATAGGAAGTTTAGATTTACTTCCCTTTATTTGGATGTTTTAAAATGCATACATTTGTTCTTGTCCTCTTAGTATAATTTTACTCTGGAGTGGAGATACTCAGCTGGTCTTCTGGTTCAAGTAGTGTAAAAGATTATAGGCTTGAGTTATATACATACTATACTGTTGGATAATCAGGGAAACAAACTCCACAGAAATGTAGTATTCCATTTGGCCATCTTAGTCCATTGTGCTTGCCAAAGTTGGCCAAATCCTTGGCCGCCAATTTGGCAACCAAAAATTGCTAGCTAATATATGGAACATTTGGGTGCAAACCAAACAGGCCCTAAAAAACTTTTCCAGAATACAGGTAACTGACAGCTTGACACTGGCTTGCTAGCCAATTTTGAAATCTCCAGCTTATGCTCAAACCAATACATATCATGTTGCCAATATCTACCAAGAAACAATTCTGGTTACTGCCTCATGGTATTATGGTTTAGAATAGAAAACATCAACCACTCGATTTCTATGGTCAAGAGAAGCAATTGCGGCTGTCATGGCCCTCATCTTTTCATTTTCTGATGCTTTATGCAACATTTAGGTGATTGAATCATCAAACCACTTGTCAAGAATTATTGTGATTTTCAAACTGCAATTGAATAAATTGTTGAATCTTATTGTATTATCGTCGCTTAGTGCCATTTCACAGAATATTGGAGATCACACCATAGTGCCACTACAGTGAACCTTGGTAATGTACCTGTTGTGTACCACAAAACAGTTGAACTTAATGCCTATTGGCCAAGTTAACGAATATATCCATCTTGATCATCAATTGGTGAAATTAATGCTGCTGATTGGAATCAGTTAAATACAACATTAAGTGATTTGAATGAAAGGTGACCTGGCATATAGCAATCTACAGGATAGCAGTTAGCACCATAGTTACCTCCACTCTATGTGATTTATATTGTACTTGGGGCTCTTTTTTTAGTAACTCTTGGTGTATTAATTGTTCAATGTTGGATGAACAGTGGGTGTGCTTTTCATGCTAAATGTATGTATTGCTTAATTTCTTTTGCTGCTATTTTCTATATTTCCTGATTTCTAGTTCTTTGTAGTATTCTTTATTTTCTTTGTGATCAGTAAGTTTTGTTGCTTTACCTTCAGTTTCTTAAAAAACGCAGGAGCTAGCGGAGCCTACTATAAAGGATGCATTTGGAAAATGTGTGCAACAAGGAGCATCCCGAGTTATTGTTAGTCCATATTTCCTTTCCCCTGGACGACACTGGAAGCAAGTATGTTTTTCCCTTTTTTTTGTATTTATGTAAGGTTTGCTGACAAGGGTGTTAATTGTTAAAGGTGCTGTATTCCATTGCTTATAGTTTATTTAGGATGAAGATGTGTATCTACCCTGTACATGCAGCTGCATATAATAGTTATGTTCAGACAAGGATTTTCATATGCACTGACACCATGTTTTATTTTTCTCAGGACATTCCTGCTTTAGCAGCAGAGGCATCAAAGGAGCACTCAAATATACCCTATATTGTCACTGCCCCTCTTGGGCTGCATGAGCTTATGGTGGTACGTGCTTGTGAGTTCCCTCTAGGTTATTTCTACCATTTTCAGCAGTTGTTAGTAGAGAAGCAAAGTAGATATGATGTGAATCTGATTTGCAGTTATTAACACAACAGTTCTTGTGGAATTTTGTGACAAAGAATTTTGTTAACAAATAGATCGCTAGAATTGCATATGTGTGTAAGTAATGGCCTTGTTGACCTTCATGTATGTCTATGATATGTCATATTTGCATAGTGATTAATTTTCAAGGTCTAGGGGCATTTAAGCACTGTATACTGTAAAGGCTTATGTAGCAACTAGTGTAACTATAGTTGTATATAAATGTATAAATAAAAGGCAACTTTTACATTATAACCAGCTGGCATTATTCTTGTGCATAATCGTCAGTCTATACGGGCTATGATCTGGAATTCTGGTATCAATTTCTTAAAAGTACAGGAGGCAATTGTCTAACTGTGAGCAATTAAGGACAGGGCTCGTTGATGAGTTGATCTATTTACTCAGTAACATGTTATTGCACTCTCCATGCTGAATATGCTTTGCAGGATATCATGAATGATCGCATCAAGTACTGCCTGCGACATGTTGCGGGTGATGTCGATGAGTGTACAATATGTGCTGGAACTGGAAAGTGCCGCCTGTACTCCTGATGGAGAATACCTGGGAGGCACGTCAATACTGCAGCTGGAATCTGACTACATGTGGCAATGGATTTCAATGCCTATTGTTTCTCTGTATTACCATTTATCAGATGGGGTTCAATATTTTTTTCTCCTGTATACGAGATCTAACGAGTGTATATCCAGGTTCGCAGTGTACTGTGAAACCAAAAGTTACCGTTGTATAGTTCATCTTGTAATCTTGGACTGTCCATATTCTGAGCAGATCATCAGAATTAAACAAGTGGTAACAAATTAGTTATGCATGGTGCATGCTTGCAGAACATCAATAATGATTAGAGATTCATTAGATAATCTTGAGTCAATCTGTACATCACGAATAAACTCTAGTCAACAGTCAAGTATATGTTCTGTTATTTGCATTCACATGTAATCTATATTCCTGCTACCTTGTAGATGAATTAGACTTATTGCCTTAGCATGAATCATGTCCTCGTTTGATTTGCCAGTTTTTGTTGTCATATCATTATCCATGGGAGATATGAAAACGTATCGCTTGATTTCAATGCCACTAGATTTACACTGTAGCTGGAAGGATGCCAGTTTATCGTTTTCATTTTTCATCCTTGAAGAGCGATGCTCCTCCCTCGTATATTCATCTAGGGCCCGTTCGGTTAGACCCATACGGTTCCTGGCTGTATAAAATACAGCAGCAACGTGCCCCTAATCATCTTCCCAACGCTGATCCGTGCCCACCTCCGGGATTGTGCTATACTTTTCGCTGAAGCAGTTCTCCGCTCCGCCTCCTGTTGTACCGAGGTGGCCAAGGAACATGGATGATTGGCAGATACTGTAAAATAAGTAATTCTCTATTTTAACAGAAGAATACTCCATATTCACGACAAATTTTTCTAGTTTCGTGTGAAAAATTATTCCAACTTTAAATGAAAAGTGTTCTAGCTTCACGAGCAAAATATTATAGTTACGATAGAAGTGTTCTAGCTTTTGGATAACATGTTCCTGAGCTTTTACCTGCGTGCCATTATAAAAGTTAGTCGTTACTCATAAACTATTAAAAAAGTTGAGTTCTCACACGTACCACTGTTATGAACTCTTTTGTCCTTCACGTCACTTTCGTCAGATTTGGCTGTAACGGTGTCAAACCGCGAGTGTGAAAAGTCGAAAATACCCTCAGGTCTAAATATGTAATTAATTTTTTTTGAGTATCTTAATGACCTCAAATGAAAAAACTCAAAACTAGAAAGTTGTAGATCTCGATAATATCTACATTTTTTGTATAAAAAATATCTTCATTATTTTTGTACAAAAAATATATGATTTGATATGATTAATATATCTTAGAAAAGTCATATTTTTTTTTTGTACGGAATCAAATGAAGATAATTTTTATATAAATATTATAGATCTCGACAAGATCTATAACTTTCTAGTTTTGAGTTTTTTTATTTGAGATTGTTAAGATGCTAAAAGAAATTAATTGCATATTTAGATATGAGGGTATTTTTGACTTTTTACATCCGCAGTTTGACACCGTTAGAGTCAAATTCGACGGAAGTGGCGTGGAGGACAAAAGAGTTCAGAGCAGTGGCACCTGTAAAAACTTAACTTTTTAAATAGATCATGGGTAATTACCAACTTTTATAATGACACAACGCTAAAAGCCTCCATGTTCTAGCTTTAGAAAAAAAAAAACCATTCCAACTCAAAATGAAAATGAACATGAAAATAAAGATGTGCGGAATAATCAAGTGAATTAATGATGTACTGAGGTAATCACAAAATATTGAGAAACAAAGAGAAAATTAGAGCATGATGAGAGGACGTATGAAATAGAAGCAGTGAAGAGGGAAAGAGAAAGAATTACATGAAAAAATAAGTACAGAGAAAGAAAGCAGATTTAAGAGCTTCACAAAATACCAAAAAGAAACAAAGAGATGAAAAATAAGTATCATTATTGTTTCACTAATTTAAACCGATGTTTCGCTAGCCATTGGCAGTTACGGAGCCGGAGAAGAGAACTCTTGGCGGCGGCCATATCCAACCGGAGAACATGCTCAGACTTGGTCAAGCTGTAGATCTTGCCTCGGACCGGCGGCAGCATGTACCGAATTGGAGGCAATTTCTCCGGGAGAAGTATTACTTCACTGCGACGGACGACCCAGACGCCAGACCGTGGAGTGAGCAAATCTACTTGGAGTTTTGTTTCCGTACCGATAGGCAGCATCAGTACAGCGATGGCACCGGCACCGTCGTCGCTGACTTCCTCCTCTCTCTCGGAGAGGAAGAACCATACGAGACTATGCTTCGGTGGCGGTGGGAGGATGGCCTTTGCACACGAAGGCTGCAACGGGCTGAGGACTGCGGGATCGAAATCCCTGACGAGGAGGCGCCCGTTTCGGCAGTCGCTGATGAAGAACTGACCGTCGGTGACGCTCGCACGGCGAATGGCGGCGGAGAGCTCAGGGGACTGTGAGACTGGCACGAACTGCGGGCGCCATGAGCCCATTTGCCTGAGGTAGAAGCCCAGAAGTGCGGGCGGGTGACGCTCTCGGAAGCGCCGGAGGAAGGCCGGGTCGGAGGCGTGCCGGAGCCAGCGCTTGCAGACGAGGGTGGTGGGGAAGCCGAGGCGGAGCAGGATCTCGCGGAGGAGGTCGTCGTCGCCGAGCACCGCAGAGATCGCGGCTGCGTATGCCGCCGACGGAGGCGTGCTGGACCCCGTCATCTCGCTATTGGCTTCCATCACTGCAGCCAAGCCTCAGCGATGGGGAAAGGGGCTGCGGATCTGGCCGGAATTTGGAGAGGAAGAGGCCACAACCGGCCAAAGATTGGCGAGACACGCGGAAAAGCCTTGTGTGGGTCCTGAGTCCTGCGACGGTGCCAGGTGCCGGCTAATCACTCCTGATTCCTGTTGTTTGTGCTTCCCACTCATCTCATAATCTCATCTCACACGTTCTGCAAATATCTCCACCAAATCCTTACGCCCTTATATATATTTTATTTAAGAATTATTTTATTTTCATATCATAGAAGAAAGGGATAAGGGTTCACACGAGTCAATGACACGTGGGACAGGATGACATATCTCCAAGTTAGCAAAATTATAATACAGTCTTTAAATTTTCCTCAGAAAAAATATATGAAACAGGTAAATTTCGGATGTTCCAAAGAGCCTTTATAGTAACAGCTAACTAGAACTGTACCATTAAAAATTTGACGTCACTTCTCATTTAATAGGGCCAGTGGTATTACAATTCATTAAGGTTCTAAAATATGCCATTTTATACACCAACATACTACTTGGCCCCATATGCAAGCCATCATGTTTTTGTATGGACCAAAATGCCCTTTTTGCTCTCTCTCTCTCACTCCATTTAGTGATAGGTGGGTCCCACTTGTCATCCTATTCCTTTCCCATACCGCTTGCTGACGCCGGCGAAGCCACACGCCGACTTCACGAATGACAACTCCGTCAGCCATGGCTACGTTTGTTTGTAGCCATGTTGCATGCCGCCGCCTCACCCAAGCTTGCACCGCCACCGCCGCTCGCTTCACTACTGCCACCGACCATCCTCCTCGTCCCTCCCCATAGCTAACCCACCACTAGACAAGTGTTGACGGTAGTTAACAAACATTTTAAACCATCAATATAACATATATAAGGATATGAAAGTAATCACCAATATAGGTTTAGGGGTTTAAACTAATAAATTTCCACGAGTTTTGGTGAATTTGTGTTTTCTGTAGGGTTTATCCAGAAAACCATCAATGTTGACTTATATGTCAGAATTAATCACGCTTAATCATGGCAAAAACAACTCTAGAAAGTTACAGAGGACACCAGAGGACACTACACCGCGACGGAGGGCGAGAGGGCCCCACCTGCAGACCAGCTAGCCCCCTGGCCCACCTGTCAGCCTCCGCCTCGTGACATCGGTTCTCCACGCCTCCTAGGTTGCATCTACCATTTATTCAAGTTGGTTTGATCCGAGTGCTCAGGATTGACGCTCTGGCCTATATATACCAGCCGCCCCCCCTAAGGCAATAAGTCATTTGAGAAGACAGAAACCTTAATCATCCTCAGAGCTCCACCATATTCTAGGGCATAGCTAACTAGGCTAGGTCTAGAGAAAGACAAGCTTCGCTTGGATTCCTGATCTTGTCAAGAGCGTGGCTTGGTATAGCCTTTGTACCCCCTCTCTTTTGTATCTCTCATTACTTTTATATGTTTGCTACAATTGCTATGACATTGTTCTTCATATTATTCATGTTCCTAGCTATCATGTTCATCATCTACTTTGATTATATGCTTAGTATAGCTAGATTATCATTATATTCAAACATAAGTTCGTATAGCGTTTGTTCTGGTGTACACGGGGTGAGTGGTCGACATTGTATAAGCGTGGTGCTTATACGTTGTTTACCTACGGATGCACCCTATATTCCGGGCCATGTGGTAGATCACGGATGTGACACTCCTGTTGAGTCCTTAGTAGTCCACTCCCCGAATATAGGACAAGTAGGATCTAGTTACGAAGGAAGACAAGCTCTATTCTTAATCTTTCTTAGTAATATCCCTTATGTGTAGATATAAAGTTGATCTTAACCATGATTACTAATTATAATTGCACTAATCAACATATGCTTTGACTTGTAATTGCACTAATCAACGTATCCTCTAATATTCTACTTAGCCATGCTAATACCATAGAAAGGAGTACTCTGAGTGATTAATTATCCTTTATCATTATTTACCATTCATATACATTTATCTCTTGACTTACCCCTGTTGTAAGTAGAAGTTGGTTATGGTTTATCTCTCAATCTTGCATATAAGTTATCAATATATTCCATCTTCCCGTCCTTTCCTATGGTAAAAATATAAATAATGATACCTAGAATACTTCCGGATGAAGTGCTACAATGGTATATTATCTATGCGCTTGCAGATCCCTTTCATTTATATATTCTATCTAGTCACATGAAATACTAAAGTACTTCTTAGTGTCATTCTAGAAGTGGAACTAGGTAGTACCAACAAGTATTTCTAGCACCATCGCTAGAGATGACAACTTAGTAACAGTGATGCTAAGAAATGTCAACAACATTAGGTGGCTACTTAAACAAGTAACAAGTTAACAAGTTAATAAATACCAACAACAAGCTCATGAGCAAGAGTGAGGAAGAGAGCGAAGGGGCATCGGCTTGAGGTACGCCTCTGCTGTGGCAGGGTACCAGTCGTAGGTCTTAGAGAGTGGGAGGAGCATGCAACATTGGGTGGGCACAATGCGGACTCAAGGTGGGCAAGCCAGGTGACTGACGAGATCCTAACATATGGGCATGTTAAGCCTCGGGTCAAACGGTTCCCGAACAAAGAAGATCCCCCGACCGACCCCTCTAGGATCGCCCGAGGGCACGGGGGCTATACCCATTGGGTACGCTCGCGCACACCCTCTGGAGAAGAAACCTAGCCGAGCCTGACTACGATGTGACCTTCGCTTGGGGCTCGGGGGCTTGCCCAAGCCCTGAGGCTCTAGATCTACGCCGACACTCCTACCTGGCCCTTGGCTCCTACCCCGCCAACAATGCCAGCCAAGGCCCAGGCACAAGAAGACACGCCCCAAGCTATTGAGGCTCGGGGGCTCCCTAGCGCTGCCCCTTGGGCACGGCATTGCCGGCTACTTTCCTGACAAGGTCACGCACGGGGCATGATAGAAGAAGGCAAAGCTTCCCAGCGGCCTCTAGGGGCTTGTGGGCTCCTAGGACCGCGCGTCCACCCCTGAAGCCGACTCCTTCAATACCAAGAAGACTCTAGAAGGTCCACCTAGGGGAGGCCGGTCCAAGCCGACATAGCCTAACACGTAGAGTGTTAGAACAAAGTAGCCGGACGATGCCCAAGGCTTGTTTGGCTCCACGACACCGCCACGGTCCACAGCGCGTCGCTGCAAGGTCCTCTTGGATTTTGGCGCATGTAGACCATAGACTCACCTCCCGAAACCACCATGTACCCGATCTATCTCATTATATAAGGGATAAGGTCGGACCTAGGAGGGAGGCAACTCAGACGATCATTAGAAGACATTCCATTCCATTCCTTGGCCTCCGCTCAGCATCGAGAGCAAGGCAACCTAGAGAGGGACACCGAGAGCTCCTCCACCGCATCCCGTCGTCTTCCTCCTCTCCGATAAGGGGAAGGCTCCACCAGCGGCGAGGCAACCTTAGGATTAACACCGAGCTAACCTCCTACCAAATATCTCTACAACCCTATTGTAACCCCCCGATTTTGGGTGCTTTTGAATATAAAGATCATTAGCTACTGGACATAAGGCACCGATTGGCCCAAACCAGGAAAAACCGTTGCGCCCTCTCTGTGATTCTTGTGATCTTGAGTCCACTCTAGCCATGGGAGACCCGTACTCTGACACCGACTTGAACAACAATGCTTACCACGGTTCTGACCCCGTGACAGCTGGTGCGCCAGATTGGGGGCAGTATTAAGTGTGATTCTGGCTCTATGGTGGCTGGAGCCACCTGCCTCGTCACTGAGAGCAAGCGGCACCGCCCCAGACGGTGGTGTCCGCTTCCTCGGTGAGTTCTCCACCACGGTCGGTGCCTTCGCTCAGGCCAGGTCCTCAACTTTGGGAGCCTGGCCTACGTCGCCGACTGCTACGACGAGCTTCGTCCACTCCACGGGGCTACGCCGGTGGGCAACGAGCCCCCGGCGTCACCCCCTCTGCCAGGACTTCTAGGAGCAGATCTTGAGGTCCTAGCTTGATAGAACCAGCATGGATCCACCGTGAGTCGAGGTCCATGGGGACCACCCCTCATGTTTGGACTGAGATCCCCCTTCTTTCCTCTGGCCTGCTGAGGCGGGCGATGTCCGGTTTACCAGGCATCCGCCGCTGGCCGGTCGGGGGGCACTATGTCTTCATCAGGATGCCATGGACATGTGCTCCCCCCGCCCACGGTAAGGTGGACGGCAGGGGAACACGCCCCCAACGCGACGCGACTCTGCCCCATGGTCTTCGGAGGAGGACCGACTCAGGCACCCCACAACCTTTTGGGGGTATGCTGTGGGGGGGTCAGCACGGTTAGCAGGGCGCCGCAATGGCGCCTTCGCTGGTCGAAGGTTCCCATCACCTTTGGTCACCAAGACTTCCCCTGGCACGTCCCCAGCTCGGGCCGTTTCCGCTCATCGTCAGCCGCATTGTCGGATGGGCACGCCTCACGAAGGTGCTGATGAACGGTCGGGAGCATCCTCAATGTTCTCTATGCCGACACCCTCGACCGCATGGGGATCTTGAGGAAGGACCTCCATCCTAGAGGGGCTCCCTTCTTTGGGATCATCCCTAGAGTCTAGGCCACTCCCCTTGAGAGCATCCGACTCCCCGTCATGTTCGGGGATCCCACCAACTTCTGAAAGGAGGTTCTCGATTTCGAGGTGGTTGATTTTGCCTGTCCGTACCATGCTCTATTGGGACGACCATGTTACATTAAGTTTATGGTCATCCCACACTATGGTTGTCTGAAGCTAAAGATGCCTGGCCCATGGGGGGTCATCATGGTCGCCACCTCCACGACCGAGGCATATCCGCTGTGAGAAAGAGGGCACGACCCTTGCCATGGCCGACGTCGCCGCCGCCGACTTCGCCCGAATCTGGCACCAGCCAGGTGAAGGGCCCCTAAACAACGTGAAAGGGACCCTGGTAGCAGCCTTCCATCCGGCCGATGACACCAAGATGT